GTTTAGGGTTTAGGGTTTAGGGTTTAGGGTTTAGGGTTTAGGGTTTAGGGTTTGCGCAGGGCCGGACACGCTGGAGCTTGCTGCTGCGTTTGAGTTTCAAGAGAGTCTGAGCACGGAGAGGCCGTTGCTGCCGGTGGTGAATGTGCCGGTGCTGCAGCAGGGTTTGGTAACCCTAATTGAGGGTTTACCGCTGATGACGCTAAACCCTAGCGCCGAGGGTTTGCTGCAGTCCTGGGGCCTCAAACCCCCGCAAGTCTCTCCCCAGGGAGAAGTCCTTTCTTTGGAAACTCGTCTAAACCCTCAAGTTTCTCTTTTCATTCCTTTAGTAGACGAAACCACCGGAGAACCTCTCAAGGGTTTCTTCGACAAACCCTTGCTGCTGCCAAACCCTGCAGTGCTGCAGGGTTTGCTGCTGCCCCAGGCTCTCCAGGCCGAGCAGCAGCAGCAGCAGCAGCAGCAGGCCCCCGCACCAGCCTCCAAAACGCCCGGTAACTTCCGCCGAGGGGTTAGGGTTTTGCAGAGTCTAGGGTTTTGCAGGGTCTAGGGTTTAGCGGGGTTTAGGGTTTAACGAGGTTTAGGGTTTAGCAGGGTTTAGGGTTTAGCGGGGTTTGGGGTTTAGGAGAGTCTGGGGTTTGGGGGGTATAGGAATTAGCCGGGTCTACGGTTTGGTAGGGTTTAGGGTTTAGCAGGTTTTAGGGTTTAGCAAGGCTTAAGGTTCAGCAGGGTTTAGGGTTTAGCAGGGTTTGCTGGGTCTTGAGGGCTTGGGCTTTACTGCAGGGGTGTCAGCTTTATTAGGGTTTAGGGTTTACTCAGGCTCAGCGTCTGGGGTATAGAGTTGTGAGGGTTTAGGGTTTAGGGTTTGCTGGGGTTGAGGCTTTGGGCCCAAGCAGTGGGGGCTCACGGCTTTTGGTATACGCTCCAGGGTTTAGGGTTTAGGGTTTAGGGTTTAGGGTTTAGGGTTTGGCTCTCATTTGTGTCCAGGCAAAATTGTCACGGCCAGCGGCATTCAAATCAGCAAGGGCAAGGCGCGGATTTCTAAAGGTAAACCCTAAACCCTAAACCCTAAACCCTAAAACCTAAACCCTAAACACTTTGGCGGCGAAGCTAGCAGACAGCCGCAAAGAACAAAGCTTCAGGGCTTTACACTAGCAGCCGCAGGCTTCAGGGTTCATGGTTTAGTGTTTAATGTTTAGGGTTTAGGGTTTAGGGTTGAGTGTTTAGGGTTTAGGGTTTAGGGTGCTTTCGCAGCAAGCATCAGCAGCAAAATAAAAAACCCTCCCCCAGCTGGCGGCGGCCCGAAGACTTTGCGGATTCAAGTGGCAGCAGAGCCTGCTGCTGCTCTGGCTGACTTCTGCTGCAGCAGCAGCAGCAGCAGCAGCGAGCAGCAGCTGCTCCCAGATGAGGCGAGCGAAGACCAACATGCGCAGCAGCAGCAGCAGCAGCAGCAGCTGAAGCAGCGCCCCCAGATGCTGCAGCTGGCGCAGCACGAAAAGCAGAAGCAGCAGCAGCAGCAAGCACAACGGCAACAGCAGCAGCAACAACAGCAACAAGAGCAGCAGCAGCAACAGAAGCGAAAGCAGCAAGTACATCAGAAGCACCAACAGCAGCAGGAACAAGAGCAGCGAGAGCAGCAGCAGCAGCAAGAACAGCAGCTGCAGCAGCAACAGCCAAGGCGGCCAGTACAAAAGCAGCAGCTGGTGCAGCAACAAGTACAGCTGCAGCAACAACAACGACAACTGCAAAAGGGGCAGCAGGTGCAGCGGAAAAAGCAGCAAGTAGAGCAGCAGCAGCAGCAGCAGCAGCAACAGCAGCAGCTGCTGC